ATTACGTAAAGAAACATAATCAATAACAAATACAAACATCAACAATAATTCTCTAACCAACAAATTCAATTGATTATTATTTTTATTATTGATTAGTTTTACAAGTTTGAAAATATCTTATTAATATATTAATTGAAAATAAAAATGTTATCAAATAAATTATTTATATTAATATATTAATATTTATCTTATATAAATCATTCATGTAAACCATTTTTATTATTAAATTAATATATAAATAAACGATTATTTTATTTAAATATAGATTTAATTATTTTGTTAATTAATTTTATTTATAATCATATTTATTTATCAAATGAAATACAAATAAATGATGATCATAATATTTATATTGATCATGATAAACAATTTAATGATCAACATAAAAAAAAAACATTTTCCACCATTTAAAAAATTAAAAACAAAAAAATTTATTAATAATATTTAACAACAAATTTTTTTAGAATTTCAAAATAATAAAACATCTTCAGAATATATTTTCTATCCAACAAGAAAACATTTTTTAATATTTTTAAATCAATCATCATCAATATCAACAACAATAAATATCAATAATAAATAATGTTAAATAATTATATTTAACCATTTTCAATTGATAATCGTCTTTATGGTAATTATACAATTTATATTTGATTTATTTACAATAAATAAATCATTTTAAATTGAAACATTATTAAATAAATATTTATATCAATTAAATAAATATACAATTGATTAGAATTTAAATATTAAAATAAATTATTTAAATCAATAATATTATATAAAACGATATTTAACATATACAACAATTCATTTATTAAATTATATTTATATCAATTATTTTATTGAACAACAATCATTTTATATAATATGATTTATATTATAAAATTAAACATTTATTATCATTATATTTAATTATATCATTAACAAATATATATACAACATACAACACAGAACACAAATAATAATCAACCACCAATTAATATTTATTTAAAACCATTATTTATTATATCAATTGATACATTAGATAAATTATTAAAATTTTTCTTACAATTATCATTAATAACAATACATTTATGACATCATTTATTTTCATTATTATATTATACAACTACAAATATTGATTTAGTTAAACAAATTAAACAAATATAGTTTCAAGGTAATATTTCAAATAGTTTATTTGCTAAAATATGGTTTAAATTTATTCAAACAACACAACGATATGATTGATGAAAGTACAGTTGATATTGTTATTAATTATTTTCAAAGATCATTTATGTGTAATGATGAATATATAAATATTATCGAAAATATTAAATTAAGTAAAAGAGTAACAACATTAAGTATGTTTTAACAATAAATATTTTTCTTTAATTAAGAACTTATTTATAACTAATTAAAAATATTATTTTCACTGAATAATTTCTTCAATGTGAGATCAGGACGAGGATTACAGGAGGATATGATCGAACTCCCATCGAGACTGAGACTCTGATTGGTACCGATCATAGTTTGGATTTCGGTTCTTTTTATGTATTTGATAAAATAGTAAAAAATTATCAATTCTATCAGAAGTGTTCATCGCAACGACGACAGTGCGCACAAGGTTTTCTTTTCTATTATTACAATAGGTTTTTTTTAAGTCTGATGAATATTTCTGTTTTCTAATTGAATAATAAATAACTTTTTTGTTTTTTTCCTAGATGAATCAAATCAATCTCAAAATATTCCATCATCATCAACTAATGTCAATAGTGATTATCTTAATAGACTTCTATCTATTCTTGATCGTTTAATAAGTAATGGTTTTCATGGTCCATTAAATTGTCATTTTAAATTTTAAATTTATCGTTTTTAAACAAAATTTTTCTCAATCAACATCATCAATACGTTTAAAAGTTTGTCGTAATATAATTGATTTTGTTTGCTCATTTTGTTATTCATATTGACTATTATCGTTTACTCAAAATGATATAGATCCATTAATATGTTTTATTAATTATGATCGTATTCATCATCATCATCATCATCATCATCATCATCTTCAACAAGTTCATTAATACCTCCATCATCATTATCTGTAAATAAATGGCAATTAATCAATATAGTTAATAAACTTTCTCTACAAAATAATCAATCATTAACAAGAACAACAAATTGAAAATGATCATCATCAATAGATCGTCAATGTAATTTACATGATACATGTATAAGACAAATGATATTATTAATAAGAAAATAAATGGAAAATAGAAATCAAACAATTGATCAACAACTTCAATATTTTAAAAACTGAAGATATAAATATAAAATAAAATGAAATTGAAGATGAACATAATGATGATATACTTTAAATAATTTATATTGAAAAACGTTCTTTGAATACTTTCAATATGTCATTGATCACTTTATTCATCACCTCAAATATCATTAACATTGATCAACTAAATTTTTTGCTTCATCAATAACATCAACAAATCAATATGAAATCATTTATATATACAACAATATTTCATTCTATTATTTAATGATTGTCGTTGATCATAAATACGTTGTATTGATAGTATTTGTGTTTGATTTGTTAAATAATTTGAATATAGAATTAAATTCTTAACTAATAAATCAAGTAATTTATATTGATTTAATGGTTGAAATAATATTTTTTCTATTATATATTGAATGAATAATAAATAATAATAATATATTTGTTGTTAAATAATGATATAATATTGGTAAAAGATAATTTATTTATGATATAAATATTGTTAAACAATAATAAATCGTATGACTAA